ATACACTCATGGGCCACTATGAACCCACTGGACCACTGAGGATTACACACATGGGATTAGAAAAGAAAGTACTACTATTTAATGTTGAAAATCCCATTCTACATAGCTACACTGTTGTTCCTGTATTTGACTTACTGCAGTGAAGTTTCTCCGCCAGCTCCTGATGCTGCATCCTCCTCAGAACATCCATAGTGATGTTCAGAAATGACTCTCTGTTCCTCTGCTCCTCGTCCTCCTCGTTCTCAAGGCATTGTGGGTAATCTGAGGCCAGAACTCTGTGGTACCGCTTCAGTTCCTCTTTCACAAAACTAATGAGACTGTGCTCCAGACGCTGAAGAAGAAACAATATGAAAGAGCAACACCGACTCTTGGGAGCTTTGAGACATGTTATAATGTTTGAGCTCCAAATCTCAGAATGGTCCTCATCATTAAAGGTTTGCATTGTGTAACTTTTCTGGTGGAGGGTCCGTCAAATGCTTTTCTTCATGGAGATGTCATTGCTTTGCACAGTGTGGCATTAAACCTTTCTATCTTCATGGAAACAACCAAAAAGTTACACAATGCACCTTTAATGATAACAGAGCGATGGTTATATGTCATAAAAGGATGAAGATAAATAATACTGACCGTAAATATGGAGTTTAGTGTTTCCTCTGAGATCCACTGCGCCGTCCTGCGAACATATGGGCCAATCAGAGCAACTCAATACTTTTCCATTGAGTTGCATTATAGTATTGATACTTTGCATTATAGTATTGATACTTTGCATTATAGTATTGATACTTTGTGGTGATGTCATGGTGGGGGTGCTCTGCATGTATGTATATGGTAGAATGTTCTCAGTTATCGTGGTGACACATGCACACTAGAGCCCGACTGATATGGATTTTGTTGTGGCCGATATGAAACCGATAAAATGGGAGTTGGAGCTGCCGATAGCCGATATAATCGCCAATGTCTTTAGTGATGTAAAAATTCACTGTAAATCTTGAATTGTTTAAAAAACTTAGTTTGGCTCTAGTGGATTTTAAATTGGGTTTATTTAGGCAACATTTATTGTTATTCTGACTCTTTACATCATATTTACAGACAATAGATCACATTCTAGCTACTAGTGATGGGTAACAGGACTAAACCAGAACTGAACCAGGATTGAGTGTCGGGACTTGGTCTCTATCTCTTCTCCATCTCTCAAACTCAAGATTAGTCCTGGTTTATTCATTTTATGCTGAACTACAGACAAACATGCACGTTTTTTTTATCCTATGCACATGCAGATTTCTGAAAGTTTTGTTTTCAGCCGCTGCCGCTGTCAAACTGCGGGTCTGCATGCGCGTGAAGAGAAAAAAAGTGAGAGAAAGAAAACACGGCTCCCAATAAGAAGCATGCTCCTGTCGTTCGCTTCAAAGAGCCGGTTCTAAGAGCCGCTTCGATCGTGACCGACCATCACTACTAGCTAGAAAAGAAACTCCCGCTATTAGCCTTTAGCCGTAAATGCATTCACACGTCTATTCATAGCTCATTTACATATCAATGCTGGTCCAGTAACAAATATACGGTCAATATAGTCACTTTACAATAGACCAATAGAATGTGTGATAGCTATAGCAGCTAATCGATAACCAAAAACTAGCTTCAAAGTCGACATATTTCCAACACTAAGCCTCACACAGGCTCCTCCTCACATCACAAGTCTGCACTAATAAATGTCCTTTTAATCCAGACTCAAACCGATTGTCCGTAAAAAGAAAACAATCTCAATGTTTGGATCTATGTCTGCGAGTGTAAACAAACACACGTGAGTGGCGACTCTGTGGTGTGTTCAGGGACAGTACGGACACACAAATGACTCTGTAGATAAATACTGATGCGATGCCACATATTAGGACATTTATCTGTCTGTAAATTGGATTAAATGAACATAATGTAGAGAGTCTAAACTTTATAATGAGGTATAACATGCCCACGTGAAATATTGGCCCATATCAGCAAGCATATCGGCCGATAGCCGATATGTCTACAGGAGCCCATATCAGCCGATAATATCGGCCAACTGATATATCAGTTGGGCTCTAATACACATATTAGCAAACACAGCTTGTTTTGTTTTATGTATGGTTTATTATGCATTTATTTTTCCCCAATAAACCTTTTTCACAATGGCTGGAAGTCCTGCACAATAAGGTTTACAGAAGTTCCGGTTAATGCTTTTCTATGCTAAAATGTCTGAAAATGAAATGAAATGCATATTCTCCAGCAGCTTCATAAATCTGCCCCACCAAATCTTCAACCAACAAGCTCCACAAAGGATAAACATTCTAACATGAAGAATTTATCCACAAATATCAAGAGAAGAAAGACAAAAACTTAAAGGAGAAGAATGACCACACATCAGTGACACACTCAACTAAACTAACCACTGCAATGGGGAACTTCTGGCTGCTCTATTTAGAGAATAAAAAATTGCATATGAAATGATATTTTATATTTTTAATCCTTATCAGTTTGTTATTTGAATAAAAAAATTGCATTATCAAATACTACCATGTTTTTTTTTTTTATGTAGGAACTATATCCTGAGTTATTATACTATTTATTACTATTTAATTAATAGCATTGTCTACTGTTCCTTTTTGGCATTTATGTATGTGTTCCTTATACCTCCAGACCCCGCCCTTGCTCCCCCTCACTCTCCCCTTTAGTCCTCCAGACCCCCCCCCCCCCCCCCTCTCCCCACTCTCCCCTTTAGTCCTCCAGACCCCGCCCCTCCTCCCCTTCACTCTCCCCTTTAGTCCTCCAGACCCCGCCCCTCCTCCCCTTCACTCTCCCCTTTAGTCCTCCAGACCCCGCCCCTCCTCCCCTTCACTCTCCCCTTTAGTCCTCCAGACCCCGCCCCTCCTCCCCTTCACTCTCCCCTTTAGTCCTCCAGGCCCTGCCCCCTCACTCTCCCCTTTAGTCCTCCAGACCCTGCCCCTCCTCCTCCTCACTCTCCCCTTTAGTCCTCCAGTACTGCCCCTTTTATCAGTTTTGAAAGTTTTCATTAATGCTGATTTTTGTAGTTTACTGAGTTGTTTTTCACTTACGCTTTTTTAAAGTGCAAGTCTCTGTCAATGGAGTTCTTTTTCTTCGGGGACACATATCTGCTCCCATGTTCAGGTCTGTGGAAAGAAGTGGTTTGAATATATTAATTTAGTGACGTTGTTCATGGGATTCTGCTTCCTGGTCTATTCAATATTTTGAGAATGTTTTACCATTTAAAGATGGAAGATAGAAGAAGTTATATTTAGTTTTAGATGGTTCATCACTGGGCGTGTGCAAAAATATTGAAATATTGTTTTAATGTATCATTTAAATTGATGATGGGCTGCTGCAAAAAATGACAGTGTGCCTTATGTATTAATTCTGGTTGTGTTTTCTGACCTCGAACCGATTTTATGTGGTACACGGCTATGACTTTGGTAAGTTATGAAGCTGCACCACTTGATAGAATGTCAAAGCATTACAGCTAACGTAGTCAGGAGCCTTGCAGAGCTGAACCGCGTCAGTGCACAAGGAGCGAGCTGTTTTTTTTCAGCGCTTATAGTTTATGCAAATTATCCATGTGGCAAAGCTGCATTAAACACATTATTATTCGATGTATATTTGAATCGTCCTCATAGGAAATAAAAATACAAAGCCACATTCACATTCATAATCCACATTCACCAAGACAGAGAGGCAACGCTGGGCAAGTTACACCACGATCTGTCGATGGATGGTGGACTCCTGGGCTAAGGATCAGTCTCAAGTGTCGTCTATTTGTTTCTCTTAATGCATGTTATAATCGAGTGCAACTTATGTATGAAAATAGACGAGAAAATTCAACATTATTGATATTGGGCCTTACAATCCCATATGTCTTATAGTCCAACACAAACTTAGTAGACTTAGGCTATGTTCAGACTGCAGGGCTTAACGCTCAATTCCGATTTTTTTGTGAAATCCGATGTTTTTGCGAGGTCGTTCACATTTGCAATTAAATGTGTCTTGTATGTGACTCCAGTGTGAACGTTTAACGGCCCGAAAGTGTCCCACATGTGCACTGGAGACACAACGATGTCAACCACAGCGAGCGTGCTCTGTGTTTACAGAAGTTGTCCAAACATGGACACAGCATTGAGCACCTGGAGATTTTAAAGTTCCTCTCGTACAGGAGCCAGAACATGAACAACTTACTTGTTTTAAGGAGGAGATTGAGAAGGACGAGGTTTTTGGTCGTGGTGTTTTGTGGGGCAGCGGCAGCGACGTCCGTTGAAATGAACGTGTGGATGTGGAGACGGAGCCAAGAGTGGTGAGTGGTGATGTGCTTCACTTCAGTGACACCGAGTTCATTAACAATTTTCACCTACTTTAGCACAGAATAGTGACGTTTGTGGCTTGTTGATAACGTGTAGGTGGATGAATGCACTTTGGCCGTTCAGACTGAAGTCGCATGTCAAAAGATCAGATATGTATCAGTTTCAGGAGCACATATCCAAGTGTCCTGGGTCACATTTGAAAAAATCGATCTGTGTTGTTCAGGTCATTAAAAGATCAGATACAGGAACATAGAGGCCAAAAAATTGGATTTGGGTCACTTCAGGCTGCAGTCTGAACGCAGCCTTAGAGGATGACCGTATTTATAGTTATTGGTGATGGTGGCACTTGTAATTGGGTGTTTTCAGTTGTGTTAATGATTTTCTTTGTATTAATCGGGTTTGTTTTTTTCACTTATAGCATGTCTCCTTCCCCCCAGCTTTAGGGTGGAGCCTCACCCCTGCAGTAGTATCCTCACCAGTTAAAAGCACCTTTAATATTTTTGTAAATAAAAGCTGCCGTATGGCTGTTAGACCCACACACTGACTGGCTTGCTTTGTAATTAAAGCTACCTGTAAATTCCAGGTGTTAAATATATTCATTATACAAATTTAGATAAGCCATTTAGATGAGCGATCAGCGCAGTTTATGTAAATGAGCCATGAGGTTTAAGTTTCCTTTCTGTAAAACGTAAACAAATGTGGCATATCTGCATTAAAAACGTTATAATGTCAAACGGCTGATGTGGCTCTAGTGTGGTTGTGGTTTATATGTTGTAAAGTTGAGTTTATTTATGCACAAGATTTTAATTAATTTGCTGCAGTGTAGAACTTGTACAATAGTGTTTGGAAGCGTGGATCTGTGCAGCGTTCACTGGTGAGGAGCCCCTCGAGTTTCCTCTGCTAAAGGAGCTCATGGTTGTTTGTATTTTTCCTGGTTTATTAAATATATCATTTTTGCGTTTGTGCATTTGTAAGATTACGTCAAGAAAGCGGGAGAGTGCATTTATAAGGGAGACACTGATGTGCACTCAGAGAAACAATGATGCGAATTACTAACACTATAACAATTACTGAGATGAATAAAGTGAAAGTGCTGAATATTGATTTCTGTTTCTCGCTGTCATTGTGGATAATTCTTGTGAGAAATCATGAATATAGATGATTATCATTATTTATTATTAATAATGTCTAATTAAAGGAAAACTGAGCACATGTGTTATTTCAGAAGAGTGTATCAAAGTGGTCCGCCCTTGGTACGACTCAGTGCCCATGAAGTAGCTCTCAATTTCAAAAAGGTTGGTGACCCCTGCTTTAGATCTTCATGGAGACCAAACCAGACCAAGTTACAGGTCAGATCTGTGGAGAATGTCTGTTTTTCTAGTGTTTTGAGAATGTCTGTTTTTCTAGGTGTTTTTGAGCTATAAAAACACCTGAAATTTAATAAATGTAAATACTGTGGAACATTCCAAAACTAAAGAGACTGACAGTGTTTTCATGTGTCAGTGATGCAGTCTGGTTTTCTTACTCTGTTTTTGGTTTTGAAGATGATGGAAAATCCCAGTTTCTGAGCAGAGAGCGGTCACAGCTCACAGACGCGTAGGCAGAGTCACAGTCTGAGCTGTGGAGAAGACACGACAGTTAGAGGCAGATGTTTATGGATGATTTCACATTTTACACTCTCTGACATCCCGGGGCCGTTTGTGTCCATGCAGTGGACGTTCTCGCCTTTGAATCACATTTTTGTTATTATTAGAGCCACAAAAATGTCCAGATATTATTAAGTCACCCCTCCCACCTCCCATTAGCATGACGTAAAAATAGACCCAAAAATGTATGTATAAATGAATTTTTAAAAATTAAAAAATAAATAAAAATATAAATAAATATAATCAAATCGAATAAAATCAAATAAAAATAAAATTAAAACATACAATAAAATTTAAAAAAATCAAAATATTCAAATCAAAATCGAATTGAATCAAATCAAATCAAATCGAATCGTGAGCTTTGAGCACAGGCCAGAGGGAGCAACAGTAGTAGTACAGCTTTTACTTTCAGAGTCTTGAGTCATGCTGAACACAAAACTGGAGATCTGTGCTTGAAACTATGGTGAGGTTTAGTTTTGAAATATTTAAAAATTACAAAATGTACACATCTTATATCTGACAGCTCTGTTTAAAATACAATAATCAGACATTGATTATATAGTGAAGATGACCAATCTTGTCATGTAAAAACTTACTGTGATAAAGTAAAACGTGATCAAAAGGTCTGAGGCGCTCTGTTGGAATTAGAATAAAAGTCTTTTAATAGGGATCTGCCCTGATGAAGACTCCATGTGTGTCGAAAGGACTTTTCTTCTAATTCCAACAGAGCCTCGAAAGTTTTGACCTCTTTACTTCATCACAGTAAGTTTTGACTTTACAGCCTTGGTCATCTGTGGCCACACCAGTCTGTCAAAACCTGATCTCCTCAGATCTCTGAAGCTCAGCAGGACTGGGCCTGGTCAGGACTTAGATCAGGGGTGTCCACACTTTTTTCATCAAGGGCCACATGTCTAAACACTGACGAAGCAGAGGGCCGATGGAGGGCCGTAGACTGGTGCTCATAACAGTGAATTATTAAAATATGTGAATGTTTAACACGTTAAAATGAGCCATCAGTCTTTATTCATGCTAAGATCCTCAAAACTACACACTAAATATTAAATATTGGCTTTATCAAGGTAGATTTTCAAAAAACTTGCAAAAAAAAGTAAATTTTTCGTTGATGCAAGGTAATTTGGGTCAATTCTCCTGGAAGCCTGAGGGCCAAGAAAAAATTTGTCTGAGGGCCGCATTTGGCCCCCAGGCCATAGTTTGGACATGTCTGACTTGGATGGAGACACTGGGAAAATCAGGAGCCACAGAAGGCACCAGTCACAAAAACTGTCATTGTGTCCTTAGGCAAGACATTTCACCCACATGTGTAGTATGAAAGTGGTGTGTGTGTGTGTGTGTGTGTGTGTGTGTGTGTGTGTGTGTGTGTGTGTGTGTGTGTGTGTGTGTGTGTGTGTGTGTGTGTGTGTGTGTGTGTGTGATGGTGGTGGAGATCAGAGGGACTGATGGTGCAGATTGGCAGCCGCTCTTCTGTCAGTGTGTCCCAGGGCAGCTGTGGCTACAGTAGTATCTTACCACCACTGGGTCTGGAGTGAATGAATAATCATCTGTAAAGTGCCTGTAAAGTTTGGAGTCTCGTCCTTGAGGAGCATCTGTTGTGGACTTTTACTAAGAGACACTGAAGCTCTCACTTCCTCTGTGTTTTTATACACTCAGACATTTATATTTTCTTTTGCTCTATCAAAATGTAAAACATAAAATTTACGTATTTCTGCACTTCATATTAAACTTTCTACACGTAATATTGTCTAACTGATAAAGAAGTGTAATTCTTCACTCAAAGGTGTGAAACAAAGGGGAGATTCTGGTATTTTTTTTATTCTATTCTCTTCTAGTCTATTCACAGTTTCTTTGATACTTTAACCTCAAGAAATGTACAGGGATTTTTTTTAAGTTAATTTCTGAAGAACTACAAAATATCTCATGTACTAAATCACCCAAAAGTGTTCATATACTGATGTTGTCACCCACCCCAAAAGTAAATATGACTAAAGTATCATTAACTCACGCTGCATCTCTTTTAAAATCGATGTTTCTGAACAAAGAGCCGTCACTTTTCAGAGACAAACTGCGAGGAGAAGGTTTAGGTCCAGAAAGTCCAGAAGCTTCATCTCTGAAAAAAGAAAGATACACATTACAGAAAATATGAAACTCAAATATTATGCAAATGAGCAATCTCCAGGAGAAGTCGATGTCTTTTCATTGGGCAGAATATTTTAAACAGCACCTGGGTACATTTGTAGTCTGTTTGTCTTTTTTGTTTTGGAGACACTCCTCTTGTGTTATAACATCAAATCCCATCAAATCTGTTTCTGGCTCCTTTTATCCTCTCTTCCTTGTGTGCTCACAACCTGAAGTGATTCAGGTCATCCACTTGTTTGATGTAGTCTTTTTGTTTCGTACAAATACTTCTGATCTGATTAAAATGTCTGATCAGCAAACTTTTTTTTCAGGTGAGGAGGATGAAAGAGTCTGCATGTAAAAATTCATCAGTTTCTTTTCGATACAGATGTGTCACTAGTTCGTTCTCTTCTTGTTTGATCAAAATATCCAGGAAGATTATTTCTGTTTCTCTGTGGTTTAAAGTCAATTTTAAGTGTTGATGATTAATATTGAGAAAATCATAAAACACTTTCTTTTGGCCCCACATATATCATAAAAATCCAAAGCTTTATCAGAATTTATGGATTATTGCACCTGAATATAAGCCACATCAACTACATTTTAAAAGAAAAAAAAAATTACTTTTATAGGCCGCACCTGACTATAAGACACAGGTGTCTACGTCTTCAGCGTTTTCAAGTCGAGACATCTGCTTTTATCGCCTCTGAAAGCTTTTGTTGTCTTGAGTCAGTTCGTCACGCTGCCGTCGCCAACGTCTCATCGACTCACTGATGCTGAGTTCACGTGCAGCAGCAGCTCTGTTTTCTTCTTCCACAGCCACATCAATCACCTTTAACTTAAAAGCTGCATCATCTGCATTTCTTCATGTGTTTTCCATGAGGAGGGTGTGTGCATGAAGCACAAAATAACTGTTCAAAACACAATCGAACAGCATCTTCCTCAGCGCATCAGCCCCGTCTCTCCCCTGCACATGTCTCCTGCAGAAAGAGTCTCTGTTCTGTCTGGATCATGTCAGTGTCTTGGAGAATTTCAGCAGATTTCAGACTCTCTCGGGGGCGGGACAGGTGTATGGATCAGGTATTAGTGGATGTCCGGCTATTGAAGTTTGAAATATTTCTTCTCATCATTTAAGCAAACACCTGATTTAACTTATACAGGTTATTAAGACGTATTCCACTCACTCATGTTAGTTTAGCATCATCATATCTTATTTTATCACACAGCGATAAAATGTTTTAGTGCTGACAACAGCGCTAACGCTACAACTTCATATTAACCCTTTCCAGGCGTTGCAGATTTGCAAGAGCTAAATTCCAATTACCTACTTACTCCAAATCCATATTTTATGAGCCTTTTTTACTCAGGAGTGTTTTTTCACATCCGTGCTGATAAACGTGGACGATGCAGACTGTGCAAGAACGGCTACACACAAACAACCTGCCAGAAGTGCAAAGTACTTTTGTGCTTTACAAAGAATAAAAAAATGTTTCTTGGAGAACCACACAAAAAAGTGATGTTGTTCTGCCACTGTAAAGCTGTTACACTTGCTTTATATTTTCATTGTTATGAAAAGTGGTTTACACATAAAGTTAGTGTTCATATCATTTTCAGTCTTCAGTGTTAATTTAGCACAATGGGCCAATGCTGCAAATCTGTAACATCCCAGAACACACTGGATGTGAAGGTCTCTCTCAAAAAAAGTCAGGATTGTATATTACTACCCCATTTGATAATTTTCCCCAAATATCAGATTTTTCCTGTTACTAAAAGTTCGTTTGAGCCTGAGAGGGATAACACTCACTGCACTCAGGCTGTGTGCAAATCCACTGTGCTGATAAACAAATAATCCATCCATATATTCGCCACATTGTTGTATAAACCTCAGGGTTCAAAGTGTGAGAAAAAAGTAGCGCCTTATAGCCCAGAAATGATGGTATATGGTTTTAGAATGATTCTTTTCTTGGTTGAGCACACGTTCATTTTCAAAACAGGTAACATCCAATGAGCTAGAAATTAAATCCATTTTGCTTCTCATAGTTGTGCCTTTGACTTATGACTTATAAAGGCCGTAACAAGTAATAAAGTGTCGTGAGTGTACCACATGCATATATTAAATACTGAAATCATATATTTTGTTTGAATATTACATAATGCTTAACCACTGAAATCTGATATATATGTTTAAAGGTACCACTGTGTGAAAGCAGATATGTTTTTATGGTATTCCCTTTGCAGAGATGAGGGTTGTGTCTTTTTAAGGAAATCCTTTACAGAGCAGCTGACGTGGGGTCATCCTGGCTGGCACCAAGCCTAAACAGACCTGGCTATAATTGAAATCTGGTGGTCATCCCCATAAACGGAGAGGCTTCAGGGAGGATCCAAGGCGTGAACCTGGTCAACATATCAGGTCATATTAAAAACACTGTTGCTAAAATGACTTCAGTCATCTCAAATATAAGACGCTGTGCATATTTTATAATATAAGACGCTGTGCATATTTTTTTACCTTTTTCAAACATTAAGATTGTTATTCAATCTCTGGTTCTTTCACATTTAGCTTACTGCTCTGTAATCTGGTCAAGTGCCTCAAAACAGGATCTTGTCAAAGTTCAACAAATCCAGAACAGGGCGGCTCGTCTGGCTCTGCGTTGCCCTTTTAGGACCAGCGTGAGTGTCGTGCATGAGAGGTTCTCCTGGTTTACTGTTTGGGACAGACTTACCTGTAGCCTTATTTTGTTTTTTAAAAATGTATGTATTTTACAAAGAGCCTTGAGCCTTGAGCCCTGAGTTTTATCACAAGACAAGCTTCACATGGACATTTTATATTTCCACTGCCCAGGACTAAAGCTCTGAAAAGAACTGTTCTGTACAGAGCGATAGAGCTTTGGAACACGCTCCCCCAAACCGTAACTGTTCACAAGCACAAACCTAGTTTTAAGAAATTGTTAAAGAAATATATTGGAAATTGTATAGAATTATATCTAGTCATTAGTCATGCATTGTAATTAATGGATATATTATAATTGTAGTAGTGTTGTGTAGTGCAGTAAACTCTGGAACAAGACTGTATGAACTTATGTGTGAACTTTATTATTAAAATGGAACATTTTATTGTAAATTACGCCAACTTGGACCCCAGGAAGAATAGTCTTTACCTGAGTAAAGACTAATGGGGATCCAATAAATAAATAAATAAATAATTTGCATATTTGCATATTCATGTGGTTGTCTTATATTTCTGGGTGGAGGGAAAGCGCAGGCGTTCAGACCACCTGATGTAAGTCCTGTGTAGCTGTAGGCCGTCAGGGACAGTGATTTGACCCAGAGCTCTGTATTAGAATTGTATTGAATAGGGAATAAATTTTTGTGATTTCAATTGATCGATTCCAGTCTTTATTTTCTCTGATAGAACACGCTAACACTTATAAATCAAAGACACTTTAGTATTATTAGTTTTATTCACATTTTGTCTGATACTTTAACCTCAAGAAATGTACAGGGATTTTTTTAGCAAATTTCTGAAGAACTACAAAAATATCTCATGTGCCAAATCACCCAAAAGTGTTCATATTACTGATGTCATCACCCACCCCAATAGTAAAATGTGAGTAAAGTATCATTAACTCACGTCGCGTCTCTTTTAAAATCGATGTATCTGTACAAAGACTTGTCACTTTGCAGAGACAAACTGCGAGGAAAAGGTTTAGGTTCAGAAAGTCCAGAAGCTTCGACTCGACTCTGAAAAAAGAAAAGTACACGTCACAGAAAATATGCAACTCAAATATAGAAATGAGAAATCTCCAGTAGAAGTACAAAGAAGCAGACTAAGACATGACACAAGAATAAAAAAGTCTGGATGTAACTTCAACAACAAAGCATTAAAGGTGCACAATTTTGTTAAGAAGTTATGATAGTAAAAGTACTCGAGTAAAAGTAGTACCCACCTCTGCTCGGGGGCCCCTTCCTCTCTGTCCATGTTTGACTCAGATCACAGGAGAAGATCAAAACAGAACTGCAACAGAGACAATGACAGATTATATTTCTTATTCATTACACACATACATAAAACATGTGATCAAAAGTCACTTAACCTGTTGTGTTTGGATTTATAATATTTGAAAGGGACTAAGCCAAGACTGAACCAGGACTTAAACCTGACTAAAGAAAGACCAGTCAGTTTTAACAAGAAGAGGACTTCGACTAAACTAGGACTACACCAGAACTGAACCAAGACTTAACCAGAACTAATCAAGGAGTAAACCTCTGACCAAACCAAGACTAAACCAAGACTAACCCAGGACTAAACCAAGAACGCACTTACCTGTAATCTCTCTTCAGACATCGCCTCTACTCGGTGTAAAATCCAAATCATTAAAAGTAAAAAATGTAAATCAGGTCTTGGGTGACCTCTGCTCCTGTGTGAGCCAGTGCTTCATGTGCATAAGACAAAAGCTGCTCTGCTGGTTCTAAACTGAAACTACATGAGTCATTTATAAACTTTGGCGCACTTCACACTGGAGATAAATATGTGCGCAGTTTCAGTGTTCTGTTAAAGAGACAGATTTTTGACAGATTTTTATGAGTCTCTAATTTGTACTTAATTTTTAGTTAAACTTGTATGAATATAAATGATAGTTTTACCCAAATCAAGAAGAAACTGCAAAGAAAAGTCTAAAAATATGTAAAAAATTATAGGAAGTAAAAAGTTCAAAACACACTGATGACATCCAAAATTTTAACACTTTAAACAGGATTTAAACTAAATAAAAGTGTTTTTTGTATATTTGTATTTGTCAACTAATAATTTTAATAAAATATATTTTTCTAGTTATGGAATTTCCTAGTGTGATGTCAGTTTCAGGAAGTAAAATCCATCCATCTATTTTCTTCCTCTTATCCGGGGGCGGGTCACAGCGGCAGCAATCTAAGCAGGATTCCCTGAGGTGTTCCCAGACCAGCCCAGAGACATAGTTCCTCCAGCGTGTCCTGGGTCTTCCCTGGGGCCTCCTCCCGGTGGGACATGCCTGCAATACCTCCTGAGGGAGGAATCCAGGAGGCATCAGAACAGATGCCCTCCCTCAGCTGCTCCTCTTCATGAGGAGGAGCAGCGGCTCTACTCCAAGCTCCTCGTCCCTTAAGTGTATTTTAGTCAAATGAGTAGTCTAATCTGACATAGGCACTTAAACCTGGGGTTTAGTGATGGTGACCATTCAGAATCAGAATCCTGGTTTTAGTTGTAGGATCTGGCAACCCAAGTGAACAGCTCAACTTTTCTTTTTGTACAGCTCATAACAAAATGTATTTACTGATATAATAATGTGTGGTACTTTTTATGATCATGTAAACATACAGTCACCTCCCAGCTTCTTTAGAAACACAAAAGAAATGTATGAAAGTTCTGTTTGTCTGTGATTGGCTCGTCCTTGTGCTCAGCCTGTATCAGTGATGTGTTTCCCTTTGGCACGACACAGTTGTAAAGAGAGATCAGTCCAGTGTGAGCAGAGAATACAAAAGAGTACACAAATTTTATTCAAATTACACAAAACAAAATGTAAAAACAGAAAATGACAATAAGTCTATGACTTTAATGAGTTTACACATTTTGTCACATGCTCCAGTATTAAACCTTCAGGAGAGTGACCTTTGTCCAGCTCTGAGAACGTTCATACATCTCATATATAACAACAATAAAACAGACTCAGATCTGTCCCATCATCATCAATCTATCTCAAATACTATCAATACTATCCTACCAAACCAGGTAATACATACAGAAAAATATATATGAATCTGTCAAATGCACTTTAAGATAAAAAACATATAGAATTGGATAATTATATCACTGATATAATTCTACACTGGTGTTCCTTCATGTCCCACCAGGAGGAGACTCCAGGACACACTGGAGGGACTCTGTCTCTCAACTGGCCTGGGAACACCTTGGGGTCCCGCTGGAGGAGCTGCAGGGGGTGTCTGAGGTGAGTCTATGGAGGAATGTGCAGCGGTTACCATGGTGACACAATGTACACATCAACAAACACAGCCTGAGGTTTAGAGTCAGAGAGCCAAAGGCCAAACTCGAGCACAGAGTCTGAGGTGAAGGGAGTGCTGCAGGTGTGGAGGTGGAACAGTCCATCCAACCAGACTGTGTAGAACGACACCGCCCCCTGGAGGAGAGTCCAGGTACTGCTGCTGATTCTTCCCACAGACAGAGCCCAGACCTACACGAGAACCTCCTTACAACCACCAACTTTCATTACACTTCATGTTCACTTACTTTGTTTTTAGAAGTTCATGTCCATGGAGCTATTCTTCTTCAGTGACACACATCTGCGTCCAGGTTCAGGTCTGTGAATAGAAGTGAATTCCCCACATCAGATCCTGAACTAAACTGTGTTTCTGTTGATGTCAGTTTGTTATGATCAGAGGGTCTCAGATGCATCAGGACACTTACAGTAGATCTGACTCTAACATGATCACTCTGTTCATTTACATTTTGTGGCATTTATGGTAATGAAACCTTTATTCACTTTATCCACTTTTATTGATTCTTTGCAGTGACATCACGCTGGAGGGTTTTACATGTATATGTCTATGGTAGAATATTATTATATACCAAGTACCATAGTGACAATGCACACATTAGCAAACACTGCCACAAAAGTAAATGAAAACTCAAAAAAACAATACAAAAATGTAACACATTTTCAGGAGCTTGCAATCAGTACGAGCTTTAACTTGAGTAATGGAGCTTTAGACAGAGCAGTGCCTCGATTTAGCTGGGAATGTTGATGACATCAGCTGCAAAGTATCAATTATTATCTCACCACTCAGGACCAAAAAACACAATCTACAGGACGTCCTCGATGAAACTTAAGGTTTGCTTTAGTTTTTCTCTTTCGTGCCTCTAAGAATCGGTGCTGTTCTCTTACTTTGTCTGTGCAGAACCTTTGTTTGCTTCTTGGTGTTTCTTCATGGATTTCGGAGTCTTCAGAGAAATGCATTTACGCCCAGTTTTAAATCTGTGAGAGAAAAAAAAAAAATAAATGTTTAAAAGGATTTGAAGTTAGAATGTTTATTTTGTGGTGTGTAGTACTCTGTTTCTGAAGAAATTTTACTTTCCTAGCAACATATTTTTACTCCTAATTAAGTAATATTTCTACTGGAGTAACAGCACAGTACAGTGACAAAAGTTTTATGTGACAATATGAACTGAGTTGAACTTTTGTGTTTCTTGTAGCTCCTTCAGATATTATGTAGTTTTTCTCATTTTTATGGTCTGTCCTTTAAAAATAACAGATTTGGTTCATTATTTAATGTTTTCTCCTTCAAATTACGTTAACTTCAAATTATAAATCAGATGTTACTTCCTGACAGTTACTCTTTTAGTTATTTTTACTTGAGTAGTAGTTTCCTCATTACTTTATACTTACTTTGTACTACTTTGTACTTCTACTTGAGTAATACTATTTGAAGTAAAGTTATTCTTACTTGAGTACAGTTTTTGGCCACTTTACCCTCCTCTGATAACTTAGATTTTCAGAGAAGTAATTTTGCCTGGTCACACCTTCTGTGAGCCAAAAAGTAAATATTCAGAATTCCAGTTTTTGTAACTCAAAGGCTTAAATATTCACTCTCCTTTACAGGATCCAAATGACTCTTAAAATACTCACTTAGGTCTGTTCAATGTTTTTCTCCGTGGAGATGTTATTGCTTTGTCTGGAATGTTTGTGGTGTGAAATTATGGAACAACTTGAAAATAGAATTAAAACTTTGTTCGAATATACATGTATTCAAAATGGCAATTAAAAAAATGTATTACTTCAAAATACTGTGCGGAAGAAATGAGTGCTTAGTGTATATGTGTGCATGTATATGTATGTGTATGTATATGGGTGTATATATGTATATATATATATAGGTATGCATGGGTATGTGATGTGTATGTAGGTATGTATATATTATATCTGTGTATATGATGTGTACTATATCTGTGTACATAATATACATATATTTGTTGTTGTTTGTTAGATTTGTAATGCAATGGAGGTACTGTGCAATTATTGCTTATAATGTACAGGAAATGAGAAGTCTGTATTTGTTCTTCGTTAATTTGGGACGGTAGAAAAAAGGGGTGGGGTTAAATAAGTATTTACTTCCTCCCACTCCTTTTTCAGGACACAAGGAAAATTCTGCGTAACATTTATTTTGCCTGTTATTATAGAATAGAAATAGTTACTTTTTGTGTTATATCTATGTATTTACGTTTTTGTTTTTTTATTTATTTAGTTATTTTTTTATTTATGTTCTATATATTACTGTCCGAATTAAAAAATAATAATATAAATAAATAAAAATAAAAATAAATAATGTTTCACAATATGGTATAAAACTTTTCTATCTTCATGGAGACCAAACCAGACCAAGTTACAGGTCAGATCTGTGGAGAGGCGACCCCGCTCACAGTCAGAATGTTTGTTTTTCAAGGTATGTAATTGAATTGTATGTAAGGTAGAGCTGTTTAATGTCATACTGTGGAACATTCCAAGCAGAGCAATCACATATCCACAGAAACAAGCAGGTGACAGACCCTCCACCAGAAAAGTTACACCATGCATCTTTAAACACAAATGTCTTACTTTGTTGGTAAAGGCACTTCTTTAGTAAAATCCCAGTTTATAAATTGAGAGCCACCGATCTTCTTGAAGCCGGACTCACTGTTTGCTCTGTAA